ATATTTAACTTTATAATGCTATAACTTATTGAAAAGTTTATGGATCCACACAATTTTTTTATGAGAAATAATATTTTTTAATAAACCCTTTTTCATTTGACATACTTTATCTTTATCGAGATATTAATAAGGAACCAGCAGATCAAGTAGCTTTTGGAATAGCTAATAAGCACTAATCAATAATTTACATGAGTTTAACCTATAAGTATACTTATATTAATGTAATAAGTGGCAATATGCCATAATATCTGAATAGTTAGTAGGTGTATTAACGTCGACAACAATTAAAATTAATAGTGTGGGGGGGGGTATGACAATTAAATTATCAAAACCTAAGATTTTAGATTTTAGTTGACCGACAAGCATTGAGAAGATTCTTGAAGGAGCGCCCTCTATGTTATACATCAGAAACTTCTTGAACCTTCTAGACATGGCGAGAGCGCGCGCTCTATACGCGAAGGTGTACAAACCAAAAACGGTTAGGCTCTCAATGAACAGTTCTTTATCCGACCTCGAATTAAATGTACTTCGCTGTCGTCTTGTATTCCATGTATATTGTACATTGGGGTGGTCCTTAGATCCATAAGTCTATTATCTTTAAATATATTTAATAAGGACGCCCAGTGTTCTATGTGTTATAAAAATTAGATTTATGAAATTTTGTGATAATCAAATAATTATTTCCTGGTTGAATTTTCATAAATGGGGATGAAAATTATTTTTTAACTAATTACTTGGTAAATTTTACTGATTTTATTGAACAACCTTTAATTTGTGGTTAACTCTATTGAAAATTTTAAATAATGAAACATTTGGTCGACTAGATAGACAAATTTTTTTTTTAAATATACTGTTTAAAATGTTTCAAATACATGGTGTCTACATGGTAGATATAAAAGATCTTTTTATAGATATTGTTCTAAAATGACACAACGGCCTTGTAACTTTCCCATATTATGGGCTGTTGTGTCACAACAGATAGCCTGGACTTTATATCTAATATCTCATTCTGTTAATAATTTATTAATTACTAGCGCTTGTTCTTTGCCTGTACCCGATTTAGTAAATGGAACGCCAAGCAGTTTCTTATCTTCATCAAAACTTATATCAACCGGAAGTCTATCAATATTTGTTTTTCTAGTTCATGGTAATAATTTACTATTGAAATAAACAATAATAGATGTAATATTTTTTCCTGAAATTTTTCAAATATCGAATTACGTGTATTGAAGTATGATTAATAACCAACTAATTAGCATTTAAATGAAGCGTACAGTACCATTGTCTATACAGTTGCTATTAACAAATGTATTGCATTTCTATCACTAAGCTTGTACTTATCAACAGCAGCAACAAATTTTGGTGTTATAAACTGCCGCTTTCCTCTCACTCTTTTTAAGTAGGATGGCCCAGGTTTGTCCTCATCAAGTATATCTGACACAGAACAATCAAATCTAATATTGTTTTCTTCGTTACTTTCTTCTTCTGTACTACTAATACTAGAGTCTAATATGACTAGCTCATCTAAAATAATTCATCAAATATTTTATTTTATAATTGTAATAAAGACATAATAATAAATTACATACCAGACATACATTGAAATTTTTGAAATTTAAGATCTCTGTTATTTCAATTTTTTTTTGCGTTTGTTCAGTTTTTGTGTAAATTTAAATTATAATCAGAACTAGTCATATAACCTTTTCATTGTTTATCTCGCTGACACGTTAAGAATAATTTATTTTCTTCAATTGTCATAATTTTCGTTGAGTTTGCATGTGATATGTCGAATAAATCATTGAATTTTTCAATAAAAACTTTTTCATTATTCTGATGGCTCGCCGTGGTCCTTTTAGACTAATTAAAGTTTTCTAATTTTAGATAATAAACGCGATGAAAAATATTTTCATGTTACCAACACAAAAATAACTTAAAATAATTAATAATAAAGTAATTTATACATTGGTGATCTCGATGCTTTAAGACTATTATAACTACGAAAAAGATCTACACAATCAATTGGAAATGCTACGCCAGAGAAACGGCCGCCTAGCAGCTCTCCATCAACAATAAGAACCCGTGTCTACAGTAAATCGCATCGCAGGAAGTTACCACCTTTTGATCTAAAAATACGAGTTTATAGTTATCTCAAGTACATTCATAATTTACAATATCGGGAACAAATGACTAAATTAAATTTAATTATGTTATTGTTCATCTTTTGATACGTGTAATGCGGTAGAAATAGAAAACTTAAAAACTGCGGTACCTACCAAACGTTATAAACACTTTAAACTGATAGAACGGTTATCAATCTCTGAAGAATAGCATATTTTGATATCAGTAAAGACAGCTACTCTCTTAGTTCATTCTCATACGGGTGTATATCTTAGTTTTTTTACAGATGCATCTAGCCAATCATTTGGCGCATGCCTTCAAAAACTAAATGATAGCCAATAGGAACTAATAGCATATTTGAAAAAAAAAATGTCTGCAAAACAAAGTACATGGTCGCATATTAAGAGAATTACTCGCTATCTATGAATCTGTGAAGTATTTTAGATGCGTATTTGAAGCATAACCATATCCTATTTATACTAATCATAAGTCTTATTTATGCCTTCATTCAAAACAAACCGACTTAAACTTTCAGACAATTGATATTCATTTCTGAATTCATCACGGATATACAACATGTAAAAGATGAACAAAACAACATCACTGACGAATAGAGATCTCTTTTACTGGATTACTAAGCACTTACTAAATCTCAGGATATGATTTGAATGAACTCACAAGCTTTCTCACGTGTGACAATTATTACGCTTAAAGAAACTATTACTTACGATCATTACTTTACTGTGACACGGCGATTGGACGCCCATAACCCTTCTTACTATTAACATTTCGATTTCGTGTTTTTGACGAGTTACATAAACTGAACCACCTTGATTTACGCATTTCAATTCACTTAGATTTGGATTGATTTGTATGATCTTTAATGCAAAAAGATTACTACACGATGAAAACGCGTCTGCCTGCATTGTCAACGATCGAAAGTAAGACGATATGTTTCTTCTCTATTCGTCAACTACAAAACATTTTTCACATCGAATATGACATATCTACGATGATACAACGGTCAGTCTGGTGTCATTCCAGTTCTTTAGATGGTAATACTTGTTAGCAATCGAATGTTTTCTATGAATACGTTTTTTATTCAAAGAGGATCTTAAGGCTACGTCGACCGAACTATATATGAATATATGTCTCTACTCGGCGATTTCTTATAAAATCCTCAATACGCAAACTGAAAAGACGACCTTTTTATTTTCTGGATCATTTTTGTTCTGAAATTTATACCCACATCTTGTCGCATAAATTCACAATTGTTTGTATACACATGTATTTCTTAGGGAAGCATGAATAGCATTATAACCACCTTACCTAGGCACTTACGAAATACTTGTACGGTATGACACGAATTTCACGCTTAAAATTCGAAATCATTCTTTTACGGATACGATCGATCGAGTTAAACCTACTTATTTACTGACAGATAACACGATAATCCATTGTTGGATTATCGTATTATTTTTCTTGAACTTGGTTATAACCAAATTCAACGAAAATCGCCTATAAGCAAAACAACAGACGATAAACGATCAATAACAAATAACTGGGTTTGAATCATTAACCACCTGAACGTACTTGTTCAGGTCGTCTAGATTTCCAAATATATTCAACTTCAACTAATTAAATTACGTAGGGAGGTGGTGTGACGGTAAATTAAAAAAAGTTGAAAATTTAAGATTTTAGTTGACCGTCAAGCATTGAGAAGATTCTTGAAGGAGCGCCCTCTATGTTATACATCAGAAACTTCTTGAACCTTCTAGACATGGCGAGAGCGCGCGCTCTATACGCGAAGGTGTACAAACCAAAAACGGTTAGGCCCGCAATGAACAGTTCTTTATCCGACCTCGAATTAAATGTACTTCGCTGTCGTCTTGTATTCCATGTATATCGTACATTCTTACTCGTGTGATTAAACATTTTAATTTTAATTAATAAACGCGATGACAAATATTTTCGTATTCTTAACACAAAAATAACTTTCATAATTATTAATAAAGTAATTTTCACAATTATATACTAAAAATTCTTAATTTATCTAAAATTTTCTAAATGATTACTGATAAAATTTCGCTATTGAATATTGGAATTGAACACTTTAACTATAAAATATAAAATAATTGAAGGATCTAGTGCAATAACCGATTATATCCATGTTTGAAATTGTTAGGGAGATACAGAAAATTAAATAATTTAGTACTAAACTCTTAACACTAGACAATTATAATTATACAATATTAGCTTTTCAAGGAGATTGATGAGCCCAGTGATCACACCAAATTATTGAAAAAATTATTCTTTATAAAATTATTTATAAAAAAAAAAAAAAAAANTGAGCCCAGTGATCACACCAAATTATTGAAAAAATTATTCTGTATAAAATTATTTATAAAAAAAAAAAAAAAAAACTGTTGCACAGTGTGGACGTGGCATAGTTAGGACAAGTATAGATGATATCTGACAGTGATTAAAATCACTATCATAAGAAACACTTTGATGCAAAGCTATAGATAGCGTTTAATTTTAAGAAATTGGTGGATTATACCAAAAATAAAATGAATTCCTATTTCCTTCGTTATTCCTGATTAGTAGTTCTTTGATTTAGAATAATAATATATGAATAAATATTTATTATAACAATTAATTATAGTATAAGATTGATATTTAATAATTTAGTATTGTAATTTTTTTTTCGGAGAATTTATAAAAAAACCCCACTCCAACGGAGAAATTTATAAGTTTTAGTTTTAATTTATTTAAGTTAAATTCATGTAACTTTTATAAAAAATGGTGGATTTATTACTATGGTAAACCCTTGTAAGGTATTTGAATATAAAATTAAAAATATAAAATTCGGAATTTTAACATACAATAAGCATATTTTTGAATAGGTAGCCATTTTTATCACAAAGACAATATTAAGTTTAAAGTGTTGAATCCCCCTATAATTGCAGCGTAATTTTTGAAAGTGTTCAGAAATACTAACATATTTATACATCATATATTGAAGCTTATGTAATATACTTAAATTAAAAAAAAAAATTTGACCTCTGGACTTGTCTTCATAGTGAAAATGGCTACCATATTAAAAAATATGCTATTTTTGTGATAAAAATAATAGTTTTAATATTTAATAACTTTCTGAAAAATGTATTGATCAATATAATTTTTCTTTTTATAAATATTTTTTTTATACACCTTTCATTCGATATACTTTTTTTTTAAATTGGACCATTTCCCTTTATATGAGGGAGTTAAAATTTTGAACACGTGAATAGAAATTAGACTTTTTCTACTTAATTTTTTAAAATGTTCCAGAAATACTGACACTTTAATACATATCTTAAATTAAAGCTTATATAATATACTTTAATATGGGAAAAAATGTCAGTTTTTATGTTGAAAATGGCTACCGTATTAAAAAATTTGGTATTTTTATATTAAAATTCTAGGTATTGTATTTTATTTTATTTTAAAATACTTTACAAGGGGAGTACACTAATTTTGCTTCTTTTAAGTTGAGAAAAATAAATTTTAAATTTGAACTAGCTTAAATTGTCATTATAATCCACCGAACAAATGCGATGAATGGTTGCTAAGTCCGTAACACTTATGTCTTTTATGCTTGAGATACAAAGCACAAACGGAATTGCATTTTCCTCTTAATTAGATTTAATAACTTCAATAAACATCAAGAACCCAATCACTGTAGTCTCCCCTTGTGAAAAGAAAATTTTTTTTTCATATTAAAATTATTATGTGGTTGTTTTTTTGTGGCTGTCATTTATTTTCTCAGCTCTCACTTGACCAATTTTTTTTAACAATATGTCAAACAATAACAACTAGTATCTTGTTAAATATATTAATCTCAAAAATTAAAAATAATCCCCTATATCAAATAAAAAGTTGCTTAACTAGTTTTCTCCATACAAACAATTAATATTATTAATTTCTAATATTTTTGAAATATTTATTATCAAATTAGTTTTGAACTACAAAATTAAATTATTTTTCTTTATAATTTATTAATTTTTTAACTTTATTTGTGTGTGTTACTACCAGTCTATAATAAATTTATTATAGACATTTTTTTTAAAGAAAAATTAGCCAAACAAACCACTGTATTTTGACTATTTTTTGTTCAACAATTTTTTTACACATTAATTTTATCAAAAAGAGAAACTTAACTAATTAAAAAATAAAACAGAAAAAAGGTGTCCTGGAAAGTAATTGTAATATTTTTAACATAATTTAATTCTAAAATTACTTTTGTGAATAATTCATTGTTTTCTAAGTTAAAGTTGCCATCAATTAACTTTATAACAATTTCAAGAGCTTCTTTTTCACATTCTTTTTTCTTTTTCATTGCTTCGATCAACTTTTTTCTATCAAAAATAAAATATTTATAAATGTATAATAAAACTACAGATTGTGTTAAAAAATATTATACAACAATACTAGTTAGGAAAATTAGTAACAGAATACTCACATCATAAATATTTATGAATATTTTTTTTTAATTACTAGTTAATAAATAATATAATATATTTTTATAATATAATAAAAAAAACTTTAACAAATAATGAGGCTTTAAACCATTCAAAATTTTTTTTAGCTTTTCAATATCAATATTTTATTATTAGGGTTTAAAAATATAGAAGCGTACAACTAATTAAAACTATATTAACTTATTAAAACTAATGAAGTTTCATTTCTTCAAAAATACCTCTCAAAATATTTAATGATATACTATTTTCACATTAAAAAACATTTTATATATTTGTTAAAATAGACTAATAATCGAAAAAATTCCAATTTTAGTTTAAACGGTAATTTAATTCTAAACTGTTAATTTGTATTATTACTACATAAAAGTCTCTATAAAAACATTATTTTAGAATAGTCTAACTTTCCTACCGTTTTACCAATAGTGTGCTTATATTGATACATTTATTTTTCCATAAGTTTACATGTTATTCTGATAAAATACCTATTGCCCTTGCACAATTATCAGCATTTATGTTTAATTAAATATTATCTCTTACATTAAATCCACCAAAAGTTTTTTCAAAAGAATTGTTAAAATAGTTATTAATAAAATTAAAAAAAAAAAATGATTTTAATATGTAACAAAACATTGCATATTATTGAAATAATAATACACTAGACATTGCAGAATTTCTCATTGATAATGTGAAGATGATTGTCTAAATAATTGTATTAAATAAAAAACAGGATAATTTGAAAATTTAAATTTTACAATTATGGAAATTAATAGCAAAAATTATTAAAAACGATTTATGTAATAGAATTGTATCATATAAGTAACATGAAATTGTTTATAAATATTTTTAATTTAAATTATTAAATTAAATATTAAATAGCAAATAATATTCTAACTGTATTTGAGCACCAACACTTACTGTCTTGTTTTTTTTTTTTCTTTAGATAAGGATACTTTTTTTGGTTTTTCCATTAATCGTACAAAATTGTTTTAATTTTTAATATAATTAGAGGCGTAATTGTTGCAAAAACTATGATTCTAAATTATATAAAATGTTCATTCATTAATTTTCACTAAATTTTTAGTATCGTGTCTTCATGAATAAAACAGCAGAAATTGAAGGATAAAAGGAGGTATGATAACGAGGTGATATCACCAGAGACTCAATGTAAATCATTTAGTCTGTGATATCACTTCTAATAACGAGAAGAATCTTTTATCATTAAATTATACAGTAAAATTGAGCTCAATTTGAATTTTGTAATTTCTAAATACATTATTCTAAATTCCTTCCTGTTTAATAATTAAGCCCTTGCTTTTTTTTGTTTTGATTTAACGTTCTTTGTATAATAATAAATTTAATAATTATAATTTATTTATCTTTAAAATACAGTTTTATTTTTTTTGGCTAATATATTAAATATTGTTGTATTCTTTTAAACTAAAAAACATATAATGTTTTACCACGTATGTAATAACTTTTTTTTTAATTAAAAAAAATCTCTCATTTATATATATTCTTTTAATTATTTTGTTTATGTTTTATAATAAATATATTTTGTTTATAATTAGATTGCATTAGAACATGAGGTGTTATTACATCCAAAATATTTTGGTCCTCAATTAATGGATACAGTTAAAACTAAATTGTACCGTGAAGTTGAAGGAACATGCACTGGAAAGTAAGATGGTTTTATAACAGTAAATGAATATTAAAAAACATATAAGAATGATTGTTGTTAAAACTAAAAGTTTTAATAGAAAAATATTGGTATTAATCATAACATTATTCTTTGATTGGAGAAAATTAAAATATATATTTTGTTTATTCTATAAAAAATTGGGTGGTATAATGTATTTTATGTCCATCCTACAACTTATTTTTAAATAGAGTATTATAATTATTTTTTAGTTTTCGAAAACTTTAATAGAATTTGTAGGAACAATGTTCCTTCGAGTTGTTTTATGTTCAAACAGTTTATTCTTATTTAAAAAAGGTAATAATTTTATAAAAAAAAAAATTAAGTAAATATTAATTTTATTTTATAATTTTTATAAAATTAAAAATTCATTCAATATTATTAAAAATGTAGCTTTAATTTTGTTGAAACTCTAAAATTTTTATGAATGTTATATGTATATTTTCTAGATATGGTTTTGTAATTGCTGTAACTCATATTGATAATATTGGTAGTGGACTTATATTACCTGGGCAAGGGTTTGTTGTGTATTCTGTTAAATACAAAGCTATTGTTTTTCGTCCATTCAAAGGTGAAGTTTTAGAAGCTGTAGTCACTCAATTAAACAAAGTCGGAATGTTTGCTGATATAGGTCCTTTATCCTGTTTTATTTCTCATCATGTTAGTAGCAATCATATTACTAAACAAACTTATTACATAAACAAATTCTTTATAATTATTTACTTGTTTATAAAACTTAAAATCCATTTGAACTTTATATTCTGTATTTTCCAGAGTATTCCAAATGAATTACAATTTTGTCCAAACACATCACCACCTTGTTACAAATCTAAAGAAGAAGTAAATAAAAATTATTTTAATAATCAAATTATCATGTTTATTTATTATATATTTTTTATGTAATTAGAACATAGCCATTCAGCCAGAAGATACAATTCGTTTAAAAATTGTTGGAACACGTGTTGATGCAACAGGAATAGTAAGTTAATTTGATAATAAATAACTAGTGTACATAAAATATTTGCTAAATCTTAACTATATAATTTTATAAATTGAAATTATCAGTTAGAATAGTATTAATAAAATTCTTTACATTTACTAATTATTCAATTTTTATTAGTTGTACACTTTTTACACTTTTATTTGATTTGTGATTGAATAATTTTTGTGTTTCATTTCTAGTTTGCTATTGGCACCTTGATGGACGATTATCTTGGTAAGTATATATGCTGTGATGTTATTTGGAAGATATGAAGTATAAAAAATATAAATTATACTAAAATGTTCAGTGAATTTCAAAAAATTGATTAATAGGGTAGAGTTCTTCAAGCACTTGTAAATTTTTCTGCATTTGCATAGAAATATGTAGCATATTCTTAGACACAAATTGCTTTTTTCTATAACAACATAAAATTTTATATTGCACATTTATTTATCTATATTATATTTATTATATTTAACTTCCTTTCATAAATCTATACATGTATTATAGAGAACTAAAACACATACATAGCCAAACTTGATAGATTTAACCTTTATGCAACTAGTTTTCAAGTAAAAAGTTGGCAACTGTATTAAGATTACCTATTTGCTTTTTAGCAANACTAGTTTTCAAGTAAAAAGTTGGCAACTGTATTAAGATTACCTATTTGCTTTTTAGCAAATAGATGATCTATTTAACTCGGTTGGAAAAATATTGTACTCCAATTATTGTGGATTTTAAATTATTTAATATTTTTTTAAGATAAAAAGGTCATTTATACAAAATAATTTTAAAAGTTTAATAATTATTTTAAGTTTATATTTTATTAAAATATACAGAATGATTCCAATTGGTATGACACTTATTTTCTTAGAAACTTAAGAATTTTACATTTTTGCAAAGAGAAAAAAAATTAGGTTTAAAAGTTTTGAATACCCACTGAGTGTTTAAAATGCTGTAACAGATGAAAAATTAGATTAAAAAAATTGTTTGTAATTTTTTTTTTTGAATACCATTTTATGAAGTTAAAAATAAGTTCCTAAAAATATGAAGAAAAAATTTTTATTTCTTAGAAATGTAAATTTAAAAATTTAAATTCATTTTTTTTAACTCTGGAGGGTTGAAAAATAATTATTTAATTATGTTATAGTAGAATTTTTTAAATCTAATTTTTTTTTTTTTTTTAATATAATATTTCAATAGTTTCTAAGAAAATGAGTGTCTTACCAAATTTGGATACCTGTATACCTATTTTTTTTTAAGTTTATCTTAATTATTTTTTACATAAATTAATATTTAGTTGTTGATTAATAAACACAATCAACTTTTATTTTCAGGTTTAATCAACTGATTTGGAATAACTTCAGCTCATTTTGTACATATTATTTTAATAAATATACACTTTATTACTAAAATATTTACATGTATAGTACTTAATCTTTTTTTTTATATTTTTAGTTCTAGGGAAAATAAAACTTAAAAGTCAATTTAATTATTTTTTAGAAGAGCATTTTAAAATACACACATTATAGTGTCTATCAATGATATATTCATTTTGATGTTTACTTTAAAGGTATATCAGAGTTATACATTTAGATTAAAATATGCATAGCAAAATTCAGATGAAATTTTTTCTTAAAAAAAAAAAAAATAAATTGGAAAATTGAGCCTTTTTCTGGAATAAAAAATAATTAAAAAACCCAGAACAGGGGGATCACGGCACAGTGGTGACGTGGCATAGTTGGATCAAGTATTATGATATCTGACAGTGATTGAAATCACTATCAAAAAAAACGCTTCGATGCAAATCTTTAGATAGTGTTTAATTTTAAAAAATTGGTGGATTATACCAAAAGCAACATGATCTGCTAGTTCGTTATTAATATCCTGATTCAGATAAAGTATGTCGAATGAAAAAGGGATTATTAAAAAATATTATTTCTCATAAAAAAATTATGTTTAGCATACACTTTTCAATAAGTTATATCATTATAAAGTTAAAAATGTAAAAAATAAAATCGAGAATTTTCACACAATAATAGCATTCGGTAGCTATTTTCACCGTGAAGACTAAATAAAGTCCGAAATTTTTTTTTTGCATAATAAAGTACATTACATTAGCTTTAATTTAAGATATATATAAAAGTGTCAGACTTTCCGGAACACTTTTAAAAATTAAGTTGAAAAAGTTAATTTTTTGTGAAAAAGTTGTCATTTTGAATCCCCCCCTGTAGGCAGGTTAAGGGTTAAATTTATGAAAAAAATATACCACATGAAAGGTAATGATATTATGCATCTATATAAAAAAGAATTATATTGATATGTTCATTTTTGAAAAAGTTATGGCACTTTTAAGTAAAAAAAATTGAAAAAATTAGCCAATTTTAAATTTGTAATTATTTTGGAGGTTTTCCCCATTTACGGGGAACGAGGGAATTTTTTTCAATTTTTGAGGGTAATGTCTTCGACTAGATACGATTTGTAATCTTTTGACGTATCATTGAAAGAAATCGGTTCGGTGAGAGCTGAGAAAAAGTGGTAACAGACACAAAAAAAAAAAAACACATCATAGTAAAACCAATATTGTCTCAGCTTCGCATCGAAGCTAAAAATTGTTGTTAGTATTATTACAAATGAAACTTTCTTAAATTTTTATAAGGTAGAATAAAACGGGTTTATTTTCAATTTAAAATTTAGGAAAGATACATTTATAAAAGAAAAAATATTGTAATATAAACAATTTTTAGACTTATTGTCTTTAATTAGGATAAATTTGAGCATTTGTAAATGCATTTATTTAGATAAATATATATATATATATATATATATATATAAGTTATTATTTCAAACTTGAATTTAATAAAATAGCAACACATAAGGACCAACACTTTTCAATGAATTTACAATTATTTACTCGTTTAAATTTACCTTACTTAATTTTATGTTTTTAGTTTAATTTGGATAGTATCAATCATGTAAATATTACTTGATTTTAATATATATTTACATTGTAAAAATCGATTTATTCACATGTCCATTATTTTGAATTTTGTATTTCCATGTCACTTGAACGTGGTTTAGTCTGGTTTATGTTAGCAGTAACCAGAATGTTATCATTTGATAACTGCCTTTATCCCATTTAGCAACTAATACTTTGTGCGTATTACGCGGTTAGAAACGGTTATAAAATATGTTTACTACAATATGTGAACAACGGCGTGCTCGGCGCCCAATGTGGTTATCTCGTTTTCAATTTGATTCTCTGTTTTTAATTTTACCTCATTATTGTTAGTAAACATAAGTCGATATAATACAGCATTTATCTTTAAACGCTTGATTAGTAACTTAGAATACCTATATTGTTTAATAATTTTAGTTAAAAATTTTATTTACCGCTTAGAATATTGGCATCAATCGAAAGACTTGATTTCTTTACACCTCTAATTCAAAATCAAGCCAAAAACTTAAATAGTTATCGTCTTACATTATTATAATTATATATTACATTAACCAAATTTATTGTGATATTGGAACTAGTACTATAAATAAAGTGAGTATAATTTAATTGTTACAACTTCAGTTTTACTACTCAATTGCTAATGTATGTATTTAAACTTTAGCACGTACATTACCAACATATATTGAATTTTTATGTACAGTGTAAATATAAATAACTATATATATTATCACATTTTACAACCTAAAAAGTGATAAATCGTTATACATGTATCATAGATAAATTAGTTGTAAAATGTTACCATGTTTTAAAAATTGTTTGAAAAATCCATTATTTAGTTTGTATTTTAATAATAAAAGATGTCCTGGTTAGAAGCATTGAGATTTAATGTGTAAATATTAGGGTTCAATTCTTCTAAATTGTTTGGATATGAAAGATGTCCCATGTGACTAAAGCATAGTATTAAACTTAAACTCTAATTATTAACTGCAATAAATTGATCTTGGTATATTTTAGATTCACAAAAAGTATTTGATACATTTATTTTATGTATTTTCTATAGAAGTTTTTAAAACATTAGTAGATAATAATATATATAGACTTATGACAAATTTTTGTAAAATTAATGTTATTGTGAAATTTATTACAATTTTTCAGGGGTGATCCTAGAGATAATCTTGGTAGGCATGTATAGAATTTTAAAAAATTTGTTTTAAATTTAAAAGAAGTTCTCAATATATTCTAAAACACTGTCTACAAAATGACTTTAATTAATAAACTATAGGGTAAGGATGATATCACTATGCCTCAATACTAGTGTATCTATTTTTATTAATACATATAATGCAGCACACTGTATTACAACATCTAATTAATATCTAAAAAACCACACAGACTCACCATCACAATCTGATGAAGAGGTGATCACAGCTTAATATATCATTGAATTTTCACTGGCTTAAATAAAAATTATTAATTTAAATGACTAAAGAAGAATCATAATGTAATAATTCTGTATAAAAAGTTGAGCTGAGTTCATTATTAAAGTCTTATGATAAATTGTGAAGCATTGAAAAAGAAGTAAAATATTAAGTATGGGTAAATTGTTATCTAATATAATCATTTTAATCGTAATTTTGATTTTTGAAAATAATATTTTACGTATTCTGATAAAGCCTCAATTTTATTTTTACTTATTAAAAATAGAAAAATTTTTGAATTATTAATATTTTTTTGTATGGTTTAGAGTGTTGGGCAGTTGACAAGAAAGTAGAGTAGAGAATGAGTGAAGCAGAGATGAGAATGCTTATATGGACGAGTGGAGTGACTAGAGAAGATAGCATTAGGAACAAGCATATAAGAGGGAGTATAGGTGTAACGTTAATCGTTGATAAGATGAGAGAAAATAGACTTAGATGGTTTGGTCGTGTTATATAGTGAGAAGAATCGGAAGCGGTAAGAACAGTTATAGAAATGAATGTTGAAGAAAGAAGAATTAGAGGAAGACTAAAAAAGATATGGAGGGGTGTAATTGAATGTGATATAAGGACAGCTGATGTGAGCGTAGAAGATGTGGGAGATCGTGTCAAGTGGAAGTTTAGGATAAGGGTGGCCAACCTAAAGTAGTTGGGATTAAGGCTAAGAAAAAGAAGAAGACTCATGTTTTTTTATATGATATATCTAATAAACATATAACAAATATAAATATATGCAATGTTTCATTTATATTTATAAACTTATAGTTATATTAATAATAATAACATTTTATTGAAGTGAAACTTTTTTATATTAATAAAAGGAACAATAATGTATATAGTATAATGTTTTTTGGTAAACTTATTTCTTGGATGATTGCACGAAGAGCACAAGTCTTATTATCTGATACAAGACTAATGCTGTTCTCAAATACCATTGTAATCATTACTAAAAGAATCATGGGTGGTAAATAAATATTATTTAGTAAATATTAATAAGTAAATAATTTTATAATTATATTACACAAGATAATATAATTTGTATTAATTCACACTATTTGTGTGTTAATATACTAAAATTTGACATGAGTGTAATAATACGTTCGTTGTGTAAATTATTAGAAATATGGTGTACAAAATTAAGAAACACTCAGCCATGCCTGTTCATGTCGTCGATGATCATAATGACACCTTGCGGTACATGTATCGAGAAATAGGTTCAAAACATATGCCATTATATGGAAATGTGTTGCTTCATTTTGACTCGCACCCAGATCTATCTGTACCCAAAGACATGCCTGCTGATTACGTTTATGACAAAGAAAAGCTATTTGATTCACTGAGTATTGAGAACTGGATTCTGCCTGCCGCCTATGCAGGTCATTTTGACAAGATTTTGTGGATCAAACCACCTTGGGCACGACAACTTGAAGATGGAGAGTTAACATTTGTTATTGGTAAACATAAAACATCTGGAGCTATTCGACTAACAGCCTCATGTGATTACTATGTAGGCGAAGGTCTATATTGTCGATTGGAGGATCTGGTCAATTGCCGGACTATCAAGCTTTTTGTATATACCATGTGTGGAAGCATATTTTGTCAAGAAGGGAGTGGCAATGGTCGTCGTCTTCGTGAAGATTTTAGTGTTCTACGTTCAAAATTTGTTGAGTACATAGCTGGTGGTAATGATGGTGGTGGGCATTTCATACTAGATTTTGATTGTGATTTTTTCTCCACGAGTAACCCTTTTTTGACAGTATATGATAGAGTTGATTTGTATGGTATCCTTCGAGATGTGTATGCATTTGATTCGCCAATAAATCGTGATGACCAAGATGCATTGTTACGGTGTTCCGAAGGCCGGGAACTACTATTACGACAGCTTGAGTCTGTTTTCATGCATCTTGATGATGGTAGACAATTAGCTGATTATCCATTAGAAAAGCTTACAGCTGTTAATGTGGAACGATTATCATATGCTGTCCAAGAGCTGTCTGAACATTATGATACAGTTGATTGGTTAATTGTGCACAATGCTGGATGCACTATTGATAATATAGAACTACCAAACCATCACACTGATGCAGCTGATATAGCTAAGTCTATGGAAGTAGTGTTTGATTTCCTACAACTCATACAACGACCAGTAGCAGTCACAGTAGCATTGTCTACAGGCGATGAATATTGTCCTGCTGATAGTATTGAATTTATCCGGGAAACACTATTTACAAAGTTGGAATGTTTATATAATGAATTGGATGTAAAAAATTATGTACAAGATGACTGTTAAAAAATATTATATTATAATTGAGTTATAACACTAAAAAATTATAATTTTATTATAATAATAGTTAACTATTAGTTGTCACCTTTATAACGTATACTAAGTATTTTTTATAATAGTTGTTAAAGTTTATATAGTTGTTGCACAAAATTTCTTGTATGTAACTGACAATTAATTAAAAAATTTTGTGTTATCAAATTATTTATGTTTAGTCATACATAACACATTGTTGTTTGCTTCCTATTAAGTAGTTATTGTTAATACTTTACTGTAAAAGTTTTACTTTATGTAAATATTAAAACATTACTTTTATAATAATATATATTAAATATTATGTTACATGACATTTACTACAATTATAGTAGATGTAATATATGTTATTGACATAAAATAGTGATATAAAAGTTAATTTTTTCTTTGGTAGGAATACTATAACCTATATTTGTACAAAATCTGCATCACATTTTTTATTAGAAAAAAAATTGTAAACACTACTACTGTTAATTTTTTGTTTATATTAATTTCAATATGTTATTGATAATAGGTTTTGTTGCACATACAGTGTAGTGATTTAGTATACTTAAATAATTTAATTATTATTAATAGAATTTGTTGAATATTCAGCTAAAGAATCAAATATCTAGTTGTATATTCAAAATAATTGTTATACTTCATAAGTTAAATATTTAACTATGAAATTTCAGATTTTGATATAGTATGGACATCCAATCGTTTATCTAAACTGTACATAAATTCCATAAATAAAAATGTTTTTTTTATTAAAAACTTATAGCTCATTTAGCTTAGAGTGGAGTTGTAATTTAATACGGGTTCAAATTCATCTAATTCAGGAAAATTTGTTACATTTTTGTGAGTTTATGAATTCATTTCCTTATTAAAAGGCTGTTATTATAATACATTTACATTAATGTATAACCTTGTTATAATTGCTACAAGATTGCTGTATATGGGTAGATGTATGTATTTAAAAAATAAGTAATTATATGTATTAATTTTTTACGATTACTAATGTATTTTAATGTATATTACTATGTAACACATGAAGAAGTTAAGTTGATTATTTTTTAATAATTGTTAATTATTTCTTTTCGTATTTTTATGGAAATATCAGATAGTATTTAAAATGAAAGTGCAGGTTTTGCATTCTCAAATTTCTACCACTTGCAAGTTTTAATAAAAACAACTACCTCAAAAGTTATATTGACTAAGATTTCACTTTATGAAAAGTTATATTGAGTTATATTAGTATAATATTAATAAAAACTGATATTGTTATTGTTTTACAAAGCCGTTTTAAGTATTTGTTTAAGCTCAAAAGCTTTACATAAATTTTACAATGAATTATCTAATAGTATTTATACTCGCAGCAAAGATTAATTGCGCAATGGAACTGATAAAGCTTATATTCTACTGAATAAATGAATGATAATGTTTGTTTCATTAAATAAAAAGTCTAAAGATAATAATAATATTTTTTAAATTAATTTTAGTATACTATGTATTATTTGAAAAATATATTGTGAGACACGATTTTAATTTTAAGTAGTATTTTGTTTTAAATATTTTTTTATGTAAGTCTATATTTGAAAATAAATTTTATTTATCTTCAATAATTTGGTATTATTCGTATAGTTTTCGTAACTTGATTCAAGTTGTATTATTTTTTATGTACACATTTTTATACAACTGTTGTACCTCATTTATATTTAATTGTATATTATAAAAATAAAAATATTTGACTAGTTGAAGCTAATACTATAAATATTATATTATTTTATTTGTACACAATTTTTTACTTATTTTTTGTTGTATGAAACATGATTCTGAATTTAAAATCAATCTTACCCTCTGTGTCAATTATATGATACAAATTTAGAATAATTATATTAGTGGATACAGATTTTTACATCTAGTAGGCCATAATCTCCCATTAAGTGGTTAATTTTTTATTTTCAAAAGAATTTACATTGTAAAAGCTGTGTATGCTTAGTGCTTTTTTATTTGTTATATATACATATATATATATATATATATATATATATAAACTAAAATTAATTCTGAAATTGCAAGATAATTTGTTTAAATGTATCCAGCAGTTCTTTTTTATTTCAAGATTTTAAAAAGATGTACATTTCTTAATATTTAAATAACACGATCTCAAATTAGTAATAGACGGCCTAAACCATTTAAAAAATCTGATTATCCGATTGCATGTCTAAGTAATCTATAAATAATTCTGTATCGAAATGGTTTTTCGAAAATCTCTGCAGTTAATTGTTGTAATAGTATATCACTTAAATTTCATCAAAAATGTGTTACTCAAGTTAAAAATAACTTTTTTAATTTATTTGAACAAAATGTAAGTATAGATTTGATAAAATCAAAAGACGGTTTGGGAGTACTAAAGTCATGATTTTCATTGATATTTATAAGCACTTCACAAGTTAACGATTTCACTGAAGTTAGTGTTATGAAGGGTAACTGTATGATTTTTTTTTGTTTCTTTATTACCAAGTTTATTTGGTGATATTTTAATAGAATTATGAATTATAAACAACTGTTACTTAAAAAAGGTATTTTCTTCTTCTCTGATGTTATTGTCTTATTCGACAAACATTAAAGTCTCTTTGGCCTTAAATCTATCAAACAAACGTTACATATAAATGTGATAGGTAGTAGAGTAGCTAATGTTCTCGATCCAGTTCATAATTTATACTAGACGCAATGTGACCATATGAATGTAGATAGTGATTGAAGTGCATCGCAATTCAATAGACTTTCGGATTTTCTTTAAAAAATATTTTTTTTTCAATTGTACAATATGAAATCAATGAAACGGCCTTTTTTGACAGCAACGTGAAGGCTTTTAGAACTTTCGAGTATATATTATCGAATTCACCAAGAATTTAACATCTTAGCTATTTCTAATGCAATTTATGTACGATCATTTATTTGGTCCTAGAAGCAAAGATTTGTGACTATGTAATCTTTTCGCTATGGAATTTTATATTTCAGAGGTATAATTTTTCAGTATAAATTTTCAAAAGAATAAAAATTATTAATAATTATTGTGAAATACTTTCAAGAATATACTGTTACAGAGCATTTGTGTTGTTATTAGATTAATTTTTTACAATTTGGTTAATATATTTTACTATTGTTCATTATTCTTTTCATAATTACATGTGTGATATGTAATTTATTATTTTCGAAAAATGGCATTGAAATTTTATTATATTTTAATGTATAAAATGATCTTATTCAAGTCGATTGTTAATTATTGAAATATTATATAACTGTTTTGAAGTTTCACAAATCTTTTTGCAGAAAGAATAATCTCGTATTTATAGGATATTATTATGTGATTTTATTTTAAACACACCTCTTCTTTTCTTCATAAAAGGCAATTGGATTGGATTTGTTTTTTTTAACGTGTCGCGTTGTTTGTTTTGCAGATTGTGCTACTTTGTTTTGAGGTTACAAAGGCTCTGTGGTAAATGCGCGTTAAATTGAAATGGACGTGGTTCAGATCGATCTAGACGATGAATATATGGACGAAGACACCAGAAAACTAAGGCTGGCCAAAAGAAACGCGTTGAAACGGTTCCCGTCTAAAGTAACGCGAGCTGTAGACTTATTTTTCGAAGAGCTCATTTGTGAAGCCATATTTCAATTTCACATGGAACTCAATGTGAACACGTACGATCCAAAGGACGTGGCGGTGTGTTCGTCGTTGTTCAACAAGACTTCCGGCTACAACATAGGTGGTGGTGGTAAACACGCGCGGGACGAAACGCTGACACGGATGGCCGACGAGTTGAATATCAATAAGATCAACCAGGACATCGAATGTCCAAAGTGTTCGGCCGTGGTTAAATGCCCGTGGCTATCCAAGCATCTAGCCCAGTGCATGAACCCGCACAAAAACAATTATTCGCTGAGCGCTAGAAACAGTTCGCGGATAGCCCGGCAGAGGATTCAAGATGGTTTCAAGACGGGCGTGGACGAGACGAAAAACGACCAAGAGAGCGAAGAAGAACGAACGCCGACGAAAAAGCGCAATAACAAAACAAAAAAAGCCAAGTTCAAAGGATTAAAAACCGGTAACTTGTCGTGAATGCAGACGGGACGTCGTGATGCCGCCGTGTCATTGCTATTTCACATCAATTTTTCCACATGGTCAATGCGGTCGTCTTTTGTCACCTCCGTCGATTTTTATTACTTCTCAATGATTTTTTTCGACTCGATTTTAGATAACAATAATGACCAAGTCGACGAAGCTGATAAGTCCAAAATGGTAAATTTGACAACTTTGCAAACCAATTTTGAGGTAATATATTTTATCATAACCATCACATTCAGTACACATTTTGTGTTGTATAAATAAGATCAACGTTTAATTGGAATCAATTCAATATTACATGTTAAGGTTAAATGTTAATAATTAGATTTTTTTTATTATATTTATACTTTAGCGTATTACGTGATAATAAACTATTAAATATTCTGTAATTCATTCGACGAGAGACAACTTGAGGTTTAAAAATATTTCATTTAGTTGTTGTAAAAACTCGACATATTGAGTAAGAATTAGATTAATATGTTGTAACGAACATATTGAGTAACAACCGATTTTTATAATTATATGATAAATAATTTGTTTATCTCACAAAAATAATTGTAAATAATAACCGTTTTCTCTCGTCTAGTGGACTTGAGTGTAACAACATGAGTTTCAATAGTAAGATTAATTTTTGACTGATATGAGCTTAGTGACCACATGATTTCATCGATAATTTAACAATCTGATGATTACGTATAGTTAATAATTAATTTTGAACCTTTATATAAAACAATTTTCAAATGTTCAAATTTATTATGTAGATATAATAGTAAATGTATTAAAAAGACAATACAAACTTATAATCTAAGACAATTTTCAAATAATCTAATTACTACTAACTTATTTAGATACTATAATTGTAGTGTGATTATATCTAAAGTTTTTAAAGAAATGCAGTAACTTTTCGTTTACAGTTGATTTACTAATAAAATCTTAAACACCTTTGCCAATTATTAACACAACAAAAGAATTATGTATCTACAAAATAAATTAAATCGTTTATTTGAGGTTTAAAAGTTATTTTTATAACCTCATTTATAGTCACTGTAAAACTTAGTGATTATTTTCAATACCAATTTCAAATGGCTAATACGTTTATTCTACAATACTTAACGTATTTCCATGAGTTTATTCTATAATACATTTTTTTATCTTGACTTATTCGACAATTATAATTCGACTTAATTGACTATTTAATGGTATAATATGACATTAAGTTAGTTTATTAGCTAACATAATTTATTTTTACAATAGGTACTATATAAAACAAAAAGTTATTTAGATAAAAAGATGACTTTGATATGTAGTAGGTAAGTTTTTATATTCTTGGGTTATACATCCTCCGTTTAAGGTTGTACTAAACTTGGTCATTATACAATATTCCGACGTATTTTTCATTCTTTCATACATAATTTATTATTCTTGTCACATGTTTCAGTCTTAATTACTTAATAATATTGATGTATGAGATGATATGACAAACGTATAAGAATTACACGCTAAAAAGAAAGAAAGAAAACAAGTCATCTTATTATATAATAGAACAAGAATTAAATACATATTTATTTTTTTGAACTTATGTTTAATAATCAACTTACTGATCAAATGTACTTCATTCAATTTTTTTTATACCTAGGCAGAGTATATATTAGATTTGTTAACATATCTGATAAGTTGTTTATTTAGTCAGATCACTTTATATCAGTTATTATAAAATCATATTATATCAGTTGTTGTTCGGCGCAAGCGCGCACCCAGGATTTTTGTTTGGGAGGGACTTAACCATTTTCCTTATACACAATAGAAAGCAATTACTACTCATTTTTAAACATTATTATTATTATTATTATTACTACCACAACTTACATGGTATGCTGTATTTAATATTTTCAATAAAATAAATATTAATTTAAAACTTATTTTTCTGAGTCCCGTTTCAGATAGAACTGCTAATACTTCGGATTCTTTAATTTGTATTTCTCGATGTATGTGAAGATTTGCCAGTCCATTTAATTCTGACTGTCCCATAGTATTTTTGAGGTGGGTTTTGATTCGCCGAAGTGTGGAAAATGATCTCTCAGTCGTACTTGTACTTACTGGTAACGTTGCAAATATTTTCAAAAGTATAAATACTGGTTCAAATATTTTTTGATTACATAAATTTAAACCATCGATTGCGTTTAGCGGTAAAGTATAGCAACCATTATTGAATTTTTCGTACCACAATTCGAATTTGACCTTTGCGACTGAAAAAATATTTTGTTGCATAACTTCTTCATAAAATTCGAAAAGATTTTCAAAACTTGAAATTTGTTCATTGGTTGGATTATATCCGATAGGTAAAAGATAATTAAAACGTGTGAGAAGATTTTTGTGTTTTAAAAATTGATCAGAAAGACTATTAAGAAATTAATCAATCCATGGAATAAAAATTGAACGTCTTTAATATTCTTCAATATTTTCTGATGGTGCATTACATCGTTTAGTTTGGTGTTTTGTTAGTATAGGTATAAATAATAATAGAGTAAAGTCTAAATTAGAGGCAATTTGTTGTGCTTCTAGAAATAAAAGCTTAAATTCATTTTCAGCGTTACTTCTAAGCCGATGGAGAATAGACACTACACTTCCTACTTGGTTAACTGTAGTAGAAAGATCTATATCTGTCTTTTGAAGTATTTTAATAATTGGTAAAGTATAAGCAAATAATTTCTCTGAATAAAGTGATGAAATTATAAATGTAGATTGGCGAATACTATTTAAAAGTAAAAATGCACCAGATGATGAGTCCTTATAGTTCCACAATTGAATTTCTTCTAACGCAGCCACTACAGGTAATAAAAGTTGATTGAATACTATTATTAAATCGTATCGTTCAACCCATCTAGTTGGACATAGCTGAACTAATTTAGTTTTGTTAATATCAGAAACTAAAATTTGAATTTGATTTTTCAAAATAATTTGACGTTTTGATGTATTAAAAAACGTGTATACTTTTTCTACCACACCAAAACTATTCCTACACTAGATACTACATCAACAGCATTAAATAAAGCCAAATTGAAGCTGTGTGAAACACAATGAACATAGAGTGCAGTTGTATATTTTTCTGTTATACATGCTTGGATATCTTTAAATTTGTCACTCATTGTTTCAGCCCCATCGTAGCCTTGTCCACGTAAATAATTTATATTAATACCACATACATTAAATGTTGTTAAAAGTACATCTGCTAAATTTTGAATAAAGTTGATTCTACTGGTACAAATTTTAAAAATTGTTCAACTATTTTAAAATTGTTTTCATCTATACACTCAATATATCTTGCACACAATGAGAGTTGTTCAATTGAGGAAATATCAGACGTTTCGTCAGCGAGTACGGTAAAATATTTAGCACTATTAACTTTAGTTACAAGTTTAGATAAAATAATTTCATCACAAGCATCACAAATGTTGTTTTAAATTTGTGTCCCCAGAATCAATTTGTGCCCTAAGCAACGCTCGAAAATTACCTTCGTTGCACTCGGATTCTTGTTCTATGTCAAACGTTCTGTAATCTTGATGTGCCATAAGTGGTAGACATTGTCTTCCACACAAAATAATCGTTTTTATTATCGGTTTCAGTTTTTCTTGATTTTCTAAAGCCTGTTGGTGATGAACGTTATCAATTTGTTTATCAATCGATAAAATTTTTCCTGAAATGAAATCCATAAAATGGCCAGCTTTTAAATTATCTTCCTTGTGATAATTTAAAGTACCGTGTTTTTCAAATTTTTCTAAGCCCCTTTTCCAATTATTGTATCCCTTTTTAACAAATGTATGGAGTGATTGGTTGGAACTGTAACCAGCCAAAGAAGGTAAAAATACCTTGCAAACATTACAAAAAGCACTATCTTCAATTTTTGAATATGTTAGCCATTTGTATTTAGTTAACCAAAGTATATTAAATTTTCTATTTTGATTTCCAATTTGTTGAATAGGAAAATTAAAATTAATATTCGGAACCCATCCATTTTGTAAAACTTGAATTTTTTCTTGGTTGTTGAATTTTTTATCGACAAATTATGATATGTCATAAGAAGAAAAATTTTCATATTTACCAGTAGAATTAGATGTTTGTGACGGTGAAGCAAATATTTCTTGAGGATTGGGTGAATCATTGATTTTTAGAATTTTATGTAGTTTATATAGAATTGATATAGTTAAGTAAAGTACTACTAGTACCAGTGAGTTCGCTTCGTTTTTTACTCATTTTGCAGATTTTTTACTCAAAGTAGTAAGTACGTATTCAACATAACGTTCACAACGACAAAATCAAACGGACTGAATTAAACAAACGAAATTTCACGTGACAGATAGTCTACAATTATGATCAGGGTTCGGATTTAATAGGACCAAAAATTCTAAAATATGCACTATAATATGATCGGAAAACATGAAATATGTGCTATAAATATGCCCTAAAACATCAAAATAGCAAAAAAAAATAATAATAATACAAATTAAAATTAAAATTGTATTAAATTTATTATTTAACTATTAAGTCATAGGTACCTTTAAAAAAAGAAAACTAAAATTACTGTTAATAGTTTCAAAAAACTTATTTGATACGTTGAATAATGACATCATTTGTACGCAACTATTCAAAATTATCTGTTGTAAATAAGAATAAAATTCAAGTAATTATTATTTATTAATTAAACTCAGGTAAAATAAGTAAAAATATTAAATAATATTTTTACTTATTTTACCTAAGTTACACTGTATGATTAAGTATTTTACCAAATTTTTAAATTTGAAGTTTCGGCGGGTATTAGTCAACAATGATTTGTATGTTGAAAAGGAACGTTCAACATCAACCGATGTGATAGGTGAGTAGTATATGTATGGCGGGTATGGGCTCTCAAAGGTGCCGAGAAATTACGTCATCAATTGTTCTTGGGAAAACAATGGGTGTACAGCTGTGCGGTACGGGCTCTAAAAAGTGCCGACTAA